TTATAAAACAGCCCCTTGCATTCTCCTGTTGAGAAAACATCTGCAACTTACATTTTCTCCAGAAAGTCTTGATTTTACATGCTTATTTGGAAAGGGAGCATCAGTACAAATAAAAGCATGTCAGATCCACAACTCAGATCCTCTGAAAGGCAAGGTGCTCCACCTCAAAACAGTCAGTGCACCCAGCCACCTTCATCTCAGCCAAACCCACAGGCTCTCAACCTGTCCAACACAGTCCAACACAGCCGTCATTAGCCACACTATTTAAATTTAAAAGTAAATTAGTTGACAGTTAAGTTCAAATATAAATTCATTTCGATTAAAAAGAATAAAAAATTCAGTTCCTAATCTGCGTTTACTACATCTCTAGTGTTCAAAAGCCACAGGTGAGCAGTGGCTACCACAGTGCACAGACGGGTAGAAGCTATTTCCACTATCACAGGCAGCTCTAGCGCAAGGCGCTACTTCAGACTTCCCAGATAAGTCATGCCCCTTTTCTAAGTTGCTGCAGTGAAAGAGACAAGGAGCCGTTTTTTAAGACATTACTATTTCTAACACGACCAACGTTAAGTCCAGTAAAATAAAATCGTGAGCCCACCACACATTTACTCTCAGGGTCTCTTCCTTCCCTTTCTATCCCCACCCCCGCATGAGGAGCTAGCGAGGCTTCCCCTAACACTACGGGGGTCATGAACCCAGGAAACACCCCAGGAGAAATACAGTTGGAGTCGTCTAACCATGCCCCGCATCCTCCGTTAGTAGAGTCATGAAGTAGTGCCCACTCCTTCCCTACACACCTGAAATACTCTACCAAAATGGCCACCGTTAAAGAGAATTAAATTATGTCTGTTAACTTGTTTATTCTCAAAAATATTTCCACTCATGAGGTCATCCATTCTACAAATATGCACTGAATGACATCTCTCCCCCAGGCACTGTGCTAGGCACAGAAGACACAGTGATGGACAAGCCAGCCGCGGTCTCCTTCCTCATGGCTCTGACAGTCTAGCAGGAAACGAGGAGCAAGCGATTGTAAGTGTGATGAGTACAACACAGGGGAAGCAGCGAAGGATTTAACAGGAAGGACTGACCTGGTCTTCTGGGCTAGGGGAGGCCCCCTGAGCAAGTGAGGTTTGAAAGATAAGATGCTAGTTCGAGAAAGAGGAAAAGAATCACATTCCTAACAGTGGTAACACCATGGTCCAAGGCTTTAAAGTTGGGAAGAACAAAGCAAGAACCGAAGGAGAGCCCGTGTGATGGGCTCAGAGACTGAGCAGCGAGGGGCAGACATGAGGCTAAGGCCACAAGGGTCACCTCTGATCTGCCTGTTCGGTCACTCTGGATGCAGAGAATGGATTGGAAGGGGCAAGGTGGATTCACAGCAGGCAGAGCAGTGAGACACTTGGAGATAGAAGGAGTCAGCAGGCCCCAGAACTGGTGGCTGTCAAGAGTGAGGAAGAGGGAGGAGTGTAAAAAGGACCCCACACAAATGGCAATAGCCAAGCACTCATAAACCAAAGGCAAGGAAATCATGTCAAAGAAATGCAAACTAAAATCATAATGGCATACTGTACATCAAATTAGCAAAGCTCAGTCGTGGCTACACCAGTATTGGCCAAGGATGTGATCATGCGCACACACTCAGACACTGCGGAATGATCTTTCTGAAAATTTCATCATGTTCATAGCAAGAGCCTTAAAACAAGGTTGACACCCTTCACCCAGAATCGCCCTACCAGGTATCTTCCTCCTTGGAAGTAACAAGAAGCGCAAACCAAGTTTTCAGCACACGTATCATTGCTGAGATACTTTTAATCGTGCAACATTTGGAAAGACACCCAACCACCATGAACACAATGACATGAATTTCAGTGCATCCACAGGATCAATGGAATATTTTGTAGACATTACCATGAAGTTTGCTAGAAATTTTTAATCCACATGTGAAATGCTTCTGCTGCAGCCAAATAAAATGCAGGATTAAAACTGTAGAAACTTTATGATTTAAATTCTATTAAAATGTGTGTTTCTAATTCAAATTTTATTAAAATGTGTTTAGAAATAAGAAAAAAGTGACCCCAAATTTCTAGTTTAAGGATTGGTATAATGGTAAACTGGCAAACACTGTAAAGGGGTGGGCTTCAGAGAACTGGGCGTTAAAGTTAAGTTAGGGACCAATGGAATTAAAGATGTCTTTCAAATAGGATAAAAGGGAGGTGTCTGAGTGGGCAACGGTTAGATCTGTGGGACATGATCAGGGCTGTAGACGAGGCTGAAACCTCCGGAGTCAATGAGATCACCTCAGGAGGGAGTTAGGATTAAGAAGAAAAGACGCTGAGCACCCCCCCCCACACCCAGGGCCCCACAATGTGGTCCAAGTGCATCCTGGCTGCAGCTGTGTTCTGAGGAGGGCAGCCCTGCCTTCAAGAGACCAGCAATCCCCACTGTGCCACTCAGAATCATCCAAGATTCCATCTCAGCAATCAAGCATTGTGGCTGGCAAGAGGCTGTATTTCCAAGGTTTTCTGCAAGATTTGAAATATTTGAACACTTTCAGATCTTCATCCCTGCCTCTGGGTGACAGCAGATAGTGTTCGCGCAAGGTTTCTGGCAGCTCCAGTCCAGAAGAGCCGTCTTCCCCGATTCCTTGAGGTGCACTGCCACCTGGTGGCCATCACGTGGCAGAAGCAGTCTTACCCTTCTCTTCCTTTGTGCTTGGTTTGAGATCCATACACTTTTTAAGGTTGCCTTCTACCCAAATTAAGCTATTTTTAGCTTCTTTCATTGAACTTGAAGTGTAACTGAGCAGGAAGGTCAAGCGGCAGTAAAAAGGAACGGCTCGTTTTTTCCCCTCCTCTCTTCAAATATTGTTTTTATACATGTAGGCATTGTTAATGGAGACAGGAAGTATGGGTTGCAGAAGCGGTCACAAATTGCTGTAACACCGTAGACATGTTCCTACTAATAATATGAATCACATTTGTAATTGATTTATAGAATTTAATGAAATCTAGTTGGTTTATTCCCACTAGCATTAAACCAGATTCTGGGCAACAAAATATATTTAATGGCTAATAAACCAACATGGTTGCTTTATTTCCTGGTTTCTGCATCAGTCACAAACTTTAGAATATAGAATATTGTTTTAACAGACAACAGTAAACTCACTCACAGTATACTTTTCTATTTTTCCCATACTTCTCCTCTCATAGATAATACATAGTATTACGGAAAAAGAAATTATTTTGCACTTGCAAGGATGTGCTAAGTCATGGTGGTGGTATCCTCTGTACATAACATTATGATCTATAATCCTATCTAATGAAAGTAGTTTTTTTCGATTTAGGCTAAATTTCAACCAAAAAGCAGTAAGCCAAGATGGAATTATATAAAGAAACTGATTGCATCGCTGCTATTTATTGTAATTCATTAAACCACAAAAAAGTTCATTGCTAATTTGTTTTTGTCCAAATTTCCCAATTATGTGTCACATGAAATAATTACATAGGTTCTGTTTTTTTCTAAGAATTTCTAATTGACAAGAGATCAAACACCTTTGTGTCGCCTGAGTCTTATGAGTAATATTCAGTTGCTTTAAGAGAAACTCAACCAAAAATCAAAGCAAAATTAAACAAGTAAGAAAATCATAAAACAAAAAGGCCAGTATTAATCATGTGCTTTCTTAATCATCTGAGTTCTCTTTAGCTCAGATGTTTATAAAAACAGCTCTGTGGAATATATTTAGTCTTCTATCTGAAAGATGGCCAGGACTTTTATTTCTCTAAACCCTACTATATCACTGAGTGCATCACTGGTGAATAAATGTGGACAGTGCCAGGCTGTGTAGCACAAGAAGGTGAATTAAATAAAACAAATTTCTGACCTTGCATTAATTTGAGACCTGATGTAGCCAATGTATAAATCAAATCAAACAGAAGATAGGAAAGCACTCTGAAAACTACACATCATGCAAACCTGAAGAAGTGTTGTTCTCATAAGAGTCACATCGCCAACACCACCGTAGAGGAGAGCTCCGTCACACACACACACACACGCACCATCTGACCAAGCTGATGTGGTGCATTAGATGAGGAAATTCATAGCAGACGTTAAAACTTACGGCAGCTGTGAAAGTAAGACTCAGCTTTGATATTTCCCACCAACTTTTGGTTTGAGGGTTCACTGTGTGTGAGGCAGCTTATCCTTTTTTTTTTTTTCAATCATATTCTCTGATTTCCTTTCTCTCTTAATTCCCAGAATAACTGAGCAGCAACCAAACAGAAAACAGAAGTCTGGATTGCCAGCAGCCCCTTTCTACATACTGCTGTGCCGTGCAGTGAGCAGTGATGTGTGTCCAGTCGACGTGTGCAGCAAATTGTGTGAAATATCCGTCCCCCAGGTCCCATGCTGGCAAGCACTCGCTGCACATCTGAAGGATCTCTTTGCTCAGGAAGGTTTAAGCAAAGTTCAAAGCAAAATTTGCTCCCCAGTGAATAATCTTAAATCAAAATCAGGATGCCACAGTCTTGATTCATGAGCCTATAAAACCCTATGAATCCTGACACACATAGACACATTATTGGATTCCCAGCAATTCTTCTTTTGCTCTTTCCTCTAACAACAACAGCTTCCCCTGGGGCATCATCACACCCCAGCAGCTTGTGTAGGAAAAGTAGGATTGTGGGAGAAATTTTAAAAGCCCTTCTTATAGGGTACATTTCTTTAAAATACCCAAGTGTTCTCTTGGATGCTTACTGGGGAAAAAGTCACTAACATCAGCCTCTAGTCCAGAGCCAAAGATTTACTTTCTTGCTGCTCTGTTTTCGAGATGCCCTGCAACACCAAGTACCCTAGAAGAACTGAAAATAACCCTTCACGGCAAATGGCTACTAGAGACAAGGCACAATGTCGCCCCAGTCCAACCCTGTATCAGTCAGCTCAGGCCACATTAGCAATATACCACAGACTGGGCACTTAAACAATAGAAATGTATTTCTCACAGTTCTGGAGTCTAGAAGTCCATGATCAAGGTGCCAGCAGGGTTGGTTTCTTGTGAGAGTCCTCCACTTGCAGACAACAGCTTCTCAATGTCCTCAGATGGCCTTTTCTGTCTGTGAGCGCATGGAGAGAGAGAGAGAGTCTATGTCTCTGTTCTTTTAAGGGTCAAAGTGTGTACAATTATCAAGGACCCAAGTCAGTTGTGAAAGTGCAGATTTTAAAACCCAAGACAGTGATAAGGTGCTACAGAAGAAAGGGCGCCACGGATGAGTTTAAACAAAGGGTGTGGTGTGGTTACATGTCCTTTAGAACGATCATTTGGGTAACAGCGAGGGAAGTGGGCTGGGGTCCTGAGACTGAAAGCAAAGAAGAAAGTTGGCAATCTCTTATTAACCTGGATGATGAAGAAAGAAAATTTGAACTATATCATAGGAGTATGATCAAAGGCAAGGACACAGACTGGAGAGACGTCCAAGAAACAAAGTCAAGAAAATTTGGGAAAATTAATGATTTCTATCACAAAGGACTTCTGGAGGAGCATTACTTAAATTATCTTTAACTTTTCTCACTTCACTCAATTAACATTTCCACAGCCCCTTGATTTATATCTGTTAGCACACGTTGCAAAATACCTTTAGTTCAATCTAGCTTGCCTTCTAACATATTCTGATCACCTTTCCCAAGTGTACTTTAATTTTACAAATTTAAACATGTTAGACATCGTCAATAGATACTGAGAGCAAAGACCTGTTACTAAGTCTCCAACAGCCTTGGCTACTAGTAATCCTCCTTAATACACAGGAATTAGATCTCAGAGCTGACCTGTGAACTCTGGCATGTCTTACTCTCAACGCCCAAACTGGGTGAGCACTCCTTTGTTCTCCTTTCGTGCCCATGATACACCGTTGTGCTGGGCACCCAGCGCTATGCCTTGGAATCATCCTCTCCTCTTCCCCAAATTCTTTACCCAGACGGCTTTCACAATCATCATTTCCTTTCTACTTCCAGGCCTAACCCTCCACAGTACCAGAACTGTTCCCTTCCGTCCTGCGTGCCACAGCCATGTCCCTTCCAGAGTCCTGACCCCATCCAGGCACTCAGATTAAGGCCCCCCGACTCCCTCAGGCGAGCCAGCACCCTCTCTTAGAGGCTGCATCACGATCATCTGTACGCATCTCCATCCAACTAGACTATGAGATGGTTAAGTGTGAGAGTCTATCCTGTTCAAGCAAACCCACACCTCAGGCTTCGGACCCTGTATATACTTTGTTGAATTAATTAAAAGAGTTCTTGTAAGAAGGCAGTTTACATTAGTGATTGTGTTAAACAGTGTTGCATGAGTATGTACTGTTTCTCCCATTCATGTGGAAAGCACTTAACTGCCAAGCCAGGATGTTAAATTTCTTTGTATCTCAGAGAGTCTCAGGCAATGCCTTAAACCTAGTAGGTACCTAGGTGATACTTGCGTTTGATGTAGATGGTATCTCTCTCCTCACCGTGGTACAAACTGGAACCAAATTGTAGCCAAAACACACTTCCCTACTTCCCCTTTATTAAATAAGTTTCATTCAAGAGATCATTAAAGACAACCATTTCTCTGATCCTCCTCCAAAATCTATTAAGCCAACATGAAGAATTAGCTGGTCCCTGAACCCTATTTGGCTTCCAACTCTGCTTTGTTTGGAAGCAAAGAGTGATAAAGGGAACACAGCCATTGTAGGAGGTTAGAACTAGACTTGAGCACTGAGTTCTGTAGCCAGAGCCAAACACTACTCTTCTGTCTTCCTTGAAGTGCTCTCCTGCCCAGGGTCCTAAAAAGCTTATGGTACTAACTAGCTGCCAACTGCCAAGTCTCCTGATCACTGCAGAGCCAAGCAGTTAAGCTATGGGAGTGAAATAAGCCCTGTCCTCACCCCACTTTCACTCCATTTCACTAAGCTGAGGATGTTTCATTTGTACAGCTTTCTTACTGAGAGAAGCACAAACCACAAGGAACACATTCAAACAGCTCTCACATTTTCCAGGCTGTCTTTGCATTGTAAAAAGCCATATTTAACGCGGTACTGTTGAAAAGACCAGACTAAGTTCAAGTGCAGCAAATGAGAACAAATGGATGGTTCAACATAGGATCCAAATGGCTCTGTTCCTAACAACAATAATGTTTATTAAGGGTGCCACTATACTAAGGGATTTATATCCCTTCTATCCTTTTGTGCACATTCTGCCATTTAATCCCCACAATAATCCTATGTGGTCACAATTATTCCTACTCATGGACGGGAAAAAATGAAGCTGAGAGAGGCCTGGCTGTGCCTGTGGATACACAACTAGTGAGCCGGAGGAGCTCGGGTAAACCCAGTTCAGTCTGGCTCCAAACCCTGCCACCTTCACCACTGCTCCTGCTTAAGCTAAACTGAAAATCAGATGAAAGGAATAGCCATTGATGTGGCCGGAAGGACTCAAAGGCACAGGATAAACAGGATGCATCTTCCTGGAGCAATTTTGCATAATGACAAAGTAATACAATACATTTCAATGTATTAAAACAAACATGAATGCATATCAGCATAATGCAAATTTCACACACATTTTTAAAATAAAATAGAAGGCACCAAAAAAAAAGTCTTTTTTGAAACGCAGTCCCACCTGAGGCTGTCTCAGCCTCTACCTGCATCCACTCCTTCCCTCCTCCTCCCACTTCCAGGGTATTTATTTGGCCCTACGTTCCATTAAAAGGCTCAAGTGTGACCCAGCCAATGGCCCACATCAGCAGATACATCCTAGGGGCACACGGACAGGACATGGCAGTGGTAGTTTTACTTAGGTGGGCACTTCCTGTGCATAGGACTATAGCCTCCAGGCAGAGGACAGAGGACTGGGCACCAAGGCTTCCATCACCAGGTGGGGTTCAACACAGGACTGACTAGAATCCTAGGCAAGGTAAAACCAGAGAGAAAGCAGAGTGAGGGAATCCAAAAGCTGGAAGGGGACCCTTCAGGTTCCAGATTCAGAATCTTCTGGACAGTAAAGAAGAGAGAGAGAAAGAGGAGAGAGTGAGAGAGTGATGGAGAGAGAAAGGAGGGGGGGAGATTAAATACAGAGGGAGTGGAGAATGAAGCGGAGAGAGGGAGAAAAAGGAAGAAAGGAGGGAAGTTGGAATGTCAGTTAGTGCTGAACTGTCTTACCAATTATGGGTAACCATCTGAATTTAGTCTTGGTCAATATTCCAATATCATTGTCATTTGTTGCCTAAGCCAGCATCTAAATCCTTTTCCTATTTGATGCATTCTTTACTATATGAATCACGGTAAAAGGCAGAAACTAATACCACCTGAGGAGCCGGAAATGCCAGCCCCTCGAATATACGCCCGCAACTCTGTTAACCCAATGCACCTGCACGGAGGCAGCCGCTCCCCCTCCGCTGCTGGCGGGACTTCCTCGGGACGTGGGGCTGGCAGAGTGGACTGAAAGTGAAGCCCACCAGTAGATCCAGCTGTAAAAAGCTAAAAGATGCCCAAGCCAGGCAAAGGCAGGGACTGCTATTTGATGATGATGACGGAATACAACTTTTGCATAAAATCAAAAGGTCTTACCAACAGCCTTATACCTCAAGCCAGTGTTTTCCACTAGTGTTAAAAGGTACAAAATTCATCCATTTTACCTGTGGGTCTTAATGACACATCAGCTTCCCCCTTAGCTTCATGGGATCAACTTGATAAACAACCCCGAAGTGATTTTTTTCTGTGCTCCTCTACCTCCATCTAGTGGATGGAGAGTTAACTGCAGCTTTGGCTTCCCTGAAATCTGCAATTAGTGCAGACTTTTTCCTTGGTCTGTAACTGCAAATCTGTTCAGGCTTTTGCGGCTGAAAAACACTCCTACTTCCCATGGGGCAGAATGTCTATCTAGCTATGGAAAGCCAATATCTCGAGGTATCCATTCTGCCCAGGGCTAGAACAACACATTCTGAATTTGTTGATCTAGCAATAACTGAAAAAATTGGTATTTACAGTTATCACCTATTGAAAACTCTACCTTTAGAATATCTTAATCTTGCTGAGGATTTCTGATTCACTGAAGTACACACAAAAATAAAGCACAGAGATGTAGTGACAGAGAATCAAAAAAAATGTTGAGCTGAGGAATTCTTAATGAGTTAAGATGGAAAATTAAAGCAGAGCAAAGGAAACACAGGAGATATAGCGCAAAGAACTTAGTTTCGAGCCAGGGTCACCAGGGCAGAGTTATGAGCTGCTGTGTCTCCTTCACTCATTTCTCTCAAGGTCATTCCACCTGCCCATCCAACTCTGTCCTCCTTCTCCAGACTTATTATGGCTTTTTTTTCCCATCAGCAAAAAGTTAACCTTTTCCACTGACAAATATCAATGAAACCAAGAATCACAGACTGTTTCAGGAAAAATATTTCTACAGACGATCTAGTTTCACTTCTCTCTTTCTATGTGTAGGTTTTAGGTAATTTCAGTAACTTGGCTACAGCCCTAAAGCCAGCTAGTTACACAGCCGGTGGAAGGTAACTGCAACGCAACTCTGCAACGCCGCAAGAAGAAAGGGCTGTGCTGTCAAGGGGCAAAGGCCACCGTGTGGAGCAGCGTCCACAGGACTTTCAGGTGAGAAATCATGTTTTGACTCGGGGCAATCTTTGTCAGGAACAACAGATGTCAGTCTTTCTTTACTTTTTTCCCTGCATGTCTGTTCCTGCCCTGGAGAAATGTCTTCAGGAAGCTGGTGGGTCACAGAAATGTCTGGAAACCTATGTGCAATGTCTTCCAAATTGGTAGGTATTACCACTGGGAAAACTACAGACTGCCCATCTGAAGGCATGAAACTTAATCACTGCGAGCCGTTATGTTGCCCAAGAAGACTACTTCTGAAGGCCTTCTTTAGCCTGGTGACAGTCAGGTCACAGCCCATAGTCTCTGGCATCACCAAGGGAGATTTCCAGTGTAAGGCTTCCAGAGTGACTATCAATGAATCATTTCCAGTCAAGGAAACTGAGTTCTACTACACCCATCCTCTCTAAGTCCATGTTGAAGAGGAATGATAAAAAGAAGAGGAAAGCAAAACATATAGGGCCAATACACAGCACAATTTT